GTCGCGGCTGATGCTGAAATCTAGGGCCTCGATTTGAAATATAAGCCCTGCTAGAATCCACATATACTCTTTAATTATCAATTCTATCCTTAAATCTTAACCAAACCTCAAAAAAAAAAAAAAAGCGGGAAAAAACACTCCCAAAAAATTTCAAAAATTTATAACAAAATAGGTCCGAATTTCAGCATCAGCCGCGACATATATTAACACAATTGTTAAAGAACATTATTGTTAAATATTTTTATTTATTTTATTTTGTAGCCACAGCATTTTCATTGAGCTCTCTTTTTTATAACTTAGCAAGATATCCTGTAATTTTTTTTTTTTGCAATTTTACTTTTGATAAATAATTTAAACATTTAATCATGCAAAAAAAACTTTTTTTAGGACATTCAAAAAAAAGCAAGAGAAGAAGCAATTCAAGTTTTAGGAAATTACTCTAAAATGCCAAATTCAGAAAATGTTAAGGTATTGCTTTGGACTTTTACGTATTTTTATCAAAAACTTTTAATATATTTAATCAATAATATACCATATTTTAAATAAATAGGACTTAAAATATATAAAAGCAATCATTGAAGAATCACTTCGTCGTTATCCAGCAGTAACAATGCTACCATTCCGTAATGTTTTAAAACCTTTAAAGCTTAGTCAAAATATTGAGATACCAGAAGGAATAAATATTTCACTGAATATTTGGCAGATTCATAAAAATTCAAATCTTTGGAGTGATGAGTTTGTGCCCGAAAAATTTATGAATCAAGAAGCAAAAAAGAATTGGATTCCATTCTCTAATGGGCATAGAAATTGGTACGTGTATTATTTTTTATTAAATAAATTTAGAAAGAATATATACCTTTAGGTGCATATTTCTAATTTAATTCATCTTTTTCATAGCATTGGACAAAATTTTTCGATGATGGAACAAATAGTTATTACTGCAATGATATGTAAGTTTATTATCTTTTGCTATGAATTTCTCAAAAATAAGTTCATGATACATTTTGCATATTTTATTTGTAGTACTTAATTTCGAGGTTTCTTTGCCTCCTGAGAGTCAAAATTTGGAAAAAATGCCATTAAAAAGCTCTTTTTATACTTTATACCCTAAAAACGTAAAGATTATATTTTCTAAATTAAAGAAATAATCAAAATTTTATATTTGATTATTGAAATTAAAATATATTTATTTTTAAGGTTTATTGTATAAATCATTTATATAATCATTTTTTATAGCAATGTTAAATATTAGTAAACTTTTATTTATGTATTTGTTTAGTTTTTCAATTTTAAAATAAATAGGGTTGAAAGTGGAAAATGTGAAAATATTTAGAAGCTTATTTGAGAGTACCATTTATAACCAAACCGAATAATGAAGCGGTACAGTCAAAAAAAAAGCAATCAGGATATTCATTTTTTTCATTTTTTGTTAATATCCAGTGACGCTCTACCCACATTATAACCATACCGTTATAATGAATATCCTATATAGCATTATATTGCATGATGGCAATTGCTTTAAGAATTATACTCTATAACAAGATTCAATTTAACGAGTCTGCTATAACAAGGTTAGAGTTTATTGATCAAAAGAATTTAATACCTATCGATCTAACTGGCAAATCCAAATATTATGCATCATTAAGTTCAACATACGTCAATTATACAGTGAGATATGATCAAAAAAGTCTTTACGAATTTATAAAAAAACACTCCGTTAGTCACTTGAAAATTCCTTTTCAAAAATTCGTCTTTATAAAATGCTTCATTTCTCAAAATTTATTAAGACAGCCACCTTTGTGTTCTTAAGTAAAATTATATTATCCTAAAGCTTCGGATCGATAGCGTTGAACAAGCTATACCCACCAAACCAAATTTGATAAATTTTTTTTTATTTGAATTCTACAGCTTTGTAGAATTCAAATAAAAAAAAAAACATCGAATTTGGCTTTATAGTTGTCGAGATATCATCGCTCAAAGTTGAAGAAAAACTCAAAACGTCTATCAAAATAAAAGCTGCGCCAAATTTTTCTTTATCTTTAAGTGAATATATCTCGACAACCATCCAACCAAATTTGATAAATCTTTTTTTATTTGAATTCTACAAAGCTGTAGAATTCAAATAAAAAAATTTTCATCAAATTTGGTTTGGTGGTTGTCGAGGTATCTTCGCTCAAAGTTAAAAAAAAACCCAAAACGTCTACTATCAAAATAAAAGCTGCGCCAAAGTTTTCTTTAACTTTGAGCGAAGATATCATGACAACCACCAAGCCAAATCAATGAATTTTTTTTTTACTTGAATTCTGCAATTTGTAGAATTAAAATAAAAATATTCATCGAATTTGGCTTGGTGGTTGTCGAGATATCTTCGCTCAAAGTTAAAGAAAACTTTGGCGTAGCTTTTATTTTGATAGACGTTTTGGGGTTTTTTTTTAAACTTTGAGCGAAGATATCTCGACAAACACCAAACCAAATTTGATGAAATTTTTTTATTTGAATTCTACAGCTTTGTAGAATTCAAATAAAAAAAGATTTATCAAATTTGGTTTGATGGTTGTCGAGATATATTCGCTCAAAGTTACGTTTTGAGTTTTTCTTCAACTTTGAGCGATGATATCTCGACAACTATAAAGCCAAATTCGATGTTTTTTTTTTTTATTTGAATTCTACAAAGCTGTAGAATTCAAATAAAAAAAAAATTGGTTTGGTGGTTGTCAGGATATCTTCGCTCAAAATTGAAGAAAAATTAGATCTACAGGGGGGTACGAATAACAAAATTGGTGAGTATGAATATCAGCCGCCAATAGAAATCGTATATTTTTTAGTCACTGAAATTGAGGCATTACGGCATTACGGCATTGCGGCATTACGGGATTACGGCATTGCGGCATTACGGCATTGGCACTACAGAATTACGGCAAATATTACGGCACATGCCGTTGCCGTATTATCGTGCTTTTCAAATTACTGTGATCAGCAAATTTTATGTATCACACCGGGAATCAGGAATCTGGAAAAATTGCCAGTATATGATTGGTTAAAAATTATTTGATTGATTTTTTAGCCAATCACATACTGGCATTTTTTTAGATTCATGATTCCCGGTGTGATACATGAAATTTGCTGATCACAGTAATTTGAAATTCACGATAATTTGCCAAATTAAATCTACCACCAACTATAATTACACCCGACCTTATGGGGGCGACAATATCGCATATGCGATGTATAAATTATCTCATTTTTATATTATTCAAGTTAAATACATAGTATAAAAATTATTAAATTTTGTCTATTAGAGAGGTGTAATAACTTAGTGAAATGGTTAAATTGTCACACCTCAAATGGCAAAGATAGGTAATGATATTCGAATATTCTATTTGTACTGCAGTTACTTTTCTTACGTATCAGATTGTAAATTACTATATTGGGATAAAAATATCTATAATTTTAGTACCATATCATTAAAATCTTTTTGTATTAATTGTCGGGGATAATGCTGAAATTTTGACTTATTTTATTATGAAAATTTAAAATTATTTTGGGTGTTTTTGTTCAGCTTTTTTTTTTTTTATAGTTCGATTAGAATTTAGAGTTAGTGTTTATAATAAAAGAGTACAGATGGATTTTAGTAAGGTTTATAGTTTTAAATTAAGACTCCAAATTTCAGCATCATCCCAACATTAATTATAATTCTGTTTATAGATTAATACAATCGTAAAAAAATTCTTTACAAATAAGAAACTGCATTGTGAAATTTCTTTAGAAGACTACAATCATTATTAGAAAGCTGGCATGCAAGTGAAAACAACATGATATTTTGACTTTCAAAAAAAATTTTTTAGTGAATACAAATAGTTGTATATTTTATGATAAATAAATATTATGTTCATCACTTGGATTTGTATTTTCTTTTTCGACATTATTTTGACGCTTTTACCGAACTTGCCCTTTTGTTGACTCATTATTTTGTAACTTTTAATTGTCATAGAGGCCAATCTCTTTCTTATAGCGTCATCTCTTGCTGCTTTTTGTTCAGGCGTATAAATTCATTCCCGTTTTTCAATTCTATTCAATGCAATAAATTACTAATCAATGTTTTATTCAATGTAATAAATCACTAATCAATGTACTTTCGCGTGTTTTTATTTTTATGATCGATTTCTGATTAATTAAAATTTGCATGGGATAGACTAAAATTGTAATTACAGGGGTGGGAACCAGACATCGGAATTTAGATGAGTAAGGAAAAGTCATCCGCTTTGCTCCAGCTCAATTAGACGTGAAATACTTAATTATCTTAATTTAACCGTACATTATGCATTTAATTAGGCACAATCTAATCAGAAATATTAGTATATATGGATAGCGATAGATAGATGTGAGTTAATGTCTCCAAGTCGAGACCTGACAAATCAACATCAACCGAAACACTTTATAAAGATTTATCGATTCATTGACAAAGCTGAGAGGCATCTAAATCTCGGTTTAAATACTATATATTAATGAAAGCTCATCTTAGCAACAAAATTTGGTCAATATTTGAATATTATATTTAAATTCATTTTTAAATTTATAAAAATGCATGAACTCATAAGAAATTAATTTGTCACAAATTATAATAACGGTAAATTCTGAAATTAAGAATTTGTTACGGATCTTATATATTTTTTAAGCTTGTCAAAGGTTAAATTGATTACAAATATAGAGGCAAAGTATATTGATTACATATATCAAATATGTACGATTTTATTAAATATTATACTCATAAAATTTAAAAAACATCTAAATTTAGGGCAGATATAAAACGTAACTGCTAGTTTAGAAAAAAAAACCTATCGGTAAAGTTTGAAGTATAGGAATTATAATCAAGTTACTCTTTTCGTTTTTTTAGGTTAGTTAAAATTTCTGTTATATTTAAAGTTGATAAAGCAATAAATTTTTATTAGGCTTGGATGATTCAACTCAGTTTTCTTAGATTATTGTAAGCTTCTGTTCACCTAGGCATGATTATCATTCTTCGCTGAAAATTTTTTATACGTAGCAACAATAGACTTAACCTCATTGTTGGTGAATTTTCCAACAGTAGAGACGGTGAATGTTCTGATTAGTTTGATTTTTTCTATACCAATTTTGACGAAAATGCTATAGATTTTGATAGCGTTTTGAGCAACTTCAATCTCTTCAGGAAACAGATTCTTAGGCTTTTCTTGAGGAGAATGTTCAAAAAATTCGGAAAGCTCTTTTCCGAGTTTAAATAAATGGATATAAATTTGTTTCTTTGCACTGGAGTCAATAGAAGCAAATTTACGTATAATTTCTTCGTCATTCATATTAAAATCTTGAGAATCGCTATTCAAACATTTTACAAGTGATTCTCCGAGGTAGAAATACTTTTCAAAAATTTCATTTTTTGCTTGTGATTCAATTTTGTTAATTGATTCGATAAATCCAGATTTTGAGGAGTAATTCATATTGTTGGTACCTAGTAATGGAATTAACTCAGGATATTTGTCAATACCCAATTCATCACAAAATCTTTCAATTCTCATATGGGATATATCCGGATTTAAGCCACGAAGAAGACATAAAATTTCAACTTTGTCATCTGGCGACAAATTAACATCCTCTATCAATTGAAGATCCTCTAAACTCTTATTCTTCCCATCCTTCTTACCCCACAAAATTCGAGGCGTAATAGCGTAATAAAGGATCATCCAATTCCATTCCGTAAGACCAACCATGAGAGAACAAGGAACAACAAAAAGAAAAAAAACCCAGCGGTTTCTTTGTAGTACCTTTCTTGGGGTGGAGACAACAGAATAAAGACGAAAAGCACAATATATAAAATAAATCCCAGCCAAACTAAGAAGACAGTTTAGGCCAATGCCGACATATATGTTGTCAGGGTAGAGACCAAGAAAATCTGCTCCAACAAGAATAAGAACAACAATAGAAGCCATTACAGACCAAAAAGCTTGGTAGCCGAGCACCGTTTCCAGAAGTTCCCTCTTCTTTCGAAGTTTCTTAATTGTCTCTTCTAGTTTCTCCCATAAGCGTCTTTCTATGCAAAGTTTAATGGCACCATCTTTAGGGTCATTTTCCTGGACATCAATTGTTGGCTTCTCAGAACTGGTAAATAAAAAACTACCACCAAAGGCAATAATACTGCCTCCAGAAACGAGAGAAGCAAAGGAAGATTGAACAGCTTTAAAACTATACAATAAACCTTCCATTCCATAAAATTTTAAAACTAGAATGACTATCCCAAAAAGAGTTACAACACCGGACAAAGCAACGATAAGATAATGTCGTTTTAAAAATTTGTCAAAAATATCAAGATATTCTTCATAAACATCTTTCAAATGACGTAAAAGGTGTTTTGCCAGTTCTTCCTCTTCCAATGCATGAATAGTTTTAACATCATTGTCGGCCATATGTTCGTATGAATCTCTGTAAACTTAAGATTCTTAGTCACCAAATTTGAGTTGAGAATTTACACAGCCAGATTAAAACTTAAGAATTTTTTTTTTTTTTTGATGTAGCAAAAATTGAATTAATTTAAACTGCACGATCATTTTAGGAACAGTGATATAAAATGTTCTAAAGTAACAAATATTATCGCAATCGAAACGATTAGAGCATTTAATTCTGGTACAGTGAAAATTTATTTACAGGTTTTTAGATAATTTGGGAATTTAATACGCCCATATGTTTATTTGATTACAGTACTATCAGAAAGCATTAATAAATACGTACGTACATATAAAACATTAATACATACATTAATCATGTGCTTTAAATGTAGCTGTCTATTTCAAGAACCAATGCTTCTCTCATAGAGATATAATATTAGTACATACCGATACGTATGATGCAAGCTATTGGTATAAAAATGTACGTATGTGCGGCTAAAACTTTAGTCCTATTGTGTAGAAAAATATATCAAGAAACTGCATCTCATCAACAAGCTTGGCTTACTAAGAAAGAGATTTTAGATTTTCCTGTACGTACGTGCGTGCGGCCAAAACTTTAATCCTATATCAAGAAACTGCATCTTATCTAATAAACTTTTTGACTTACGTACTAAGAAAGAGATTTTAGATTTTCCTGCTAATCTCAGCCTCATAGCCTTATCTGTTCTCCAGTTTTAGGAATCGCCAAAGTCATGTACCCACGTGACTAATGATACTTGGCTAATGTTTCAACCTCACCAGCATCATCTTCCGGCTCAAACATAGTTTGATGTGGTCGGATTTGTATTACCGGGTTTTTATTAAATTTGGTAAAATTGATTTTCAAATT